TCAGTGACACTTAAAATTACTAAAGCTACTTGATCAACAATGGTTCTTTTTTTTAACACAATTCAGTTTTACTTAACGTTTTGTAATCAGTTTCAACAGTTTTTTGAGTTATATTAACTTATTTGGTTTTACCACCTCCAGCTTTAGTTGTTCTCTTTCAGTCCACCAACTGGGAACTTGGGAACTGGGAAAAATTCTGGTTCAACCAGTTCTTTGAACCATTTGGAGCACTTCAACCAAAGTATAAATTGGCTTGGAACCCGAAATTTGGTTCCCATCTGGAACCAAGCGTTGTTGTTTTTTGTGCACCACCCTCTCTTCATGGCACATCTGATTACAATGGTTTCGCTCAAAACTGGTGGAAACACGGGCTGGTTCACTAGATAGCGCCAAGGTTCCAAGAATCTTGAACAGAACCAGTTCAAGAAAAGGAGCTGATTTGGTGGAAGAACACCATCAGTGAAGGTTTGCCTGTGCTTATAGGTTAGCTTTACATGAAATTAATTCAAAATAGATGAAAACAGTTCTTCTAAACATTGGATAAAGGAGAACATTGAGAAATTGGTGCAGAGACCTGTGGTGTAAACATCAGCGTGAGTCTGACTTAATCAATGTTGACCACTGGCAAACTCAACAGGTTAAGTTCAACTGGGTTAGCAAAACTTCTAGTGGAAAAAAATTTGTTAAGTCTAAATATTTAAAGATTAAGTCATAACCTTATGAGAAAACAACAATACTGCTATGAGATAAGGTCGTAAAAGTTATGTTTTAAGCATAAATGTCTAATTCGACTAAAACCTATGATTGAAAACTATAACCAGTCATCCACATGTAAACTGGCAGACTGCTCTCTCCTGGAAAAAACCTCTCAAAAGGTTGACTCCATTTTTAAAAAATATTAAGAACTTTTTTTTCTGGCTTTTTCCTAACATGTCATTTTCCCCAAAAATTTCATTTTTTTCCTCATAGCATCTCAACTTTTTCTGACAACTGACACCAATGACTTGACATGTACTTCTAACACTTTATTTAGATGGTCCGCCTAAGTTTAATCTTTATTTCATAGTATTTGTAACAACAACAATAACAACAAGATTCAACAACCATTTTCTGATATACCACCGTGGTTTGTTTAGGTTTAGGCACAAAAAACATCTTGGTTAGGGTAAGGGTGGTTAGGTTTAGTGTGACTATGATATGGGCTTAAAGATGAGCCCAAATCTATCATTGCCTATCAGCTCACTAAGCTAATGCAACACCTTCTTCCCACTGTACACTGCATAACTAGTTGCAACAGATAACAACAACTGAAGCATTAAGCTTTACTATATGTAAAGCACTGTTACATTCAAACAGCAATATACAAACAATATGCAGTTTCTATCAACTTAAATAAAAAACAGACACTTTTCTGATAACTAGTAGCAGCTAACAACTTTTCGCTAACGATGAACTTAGGTCTTAGGTCTGTTCCATAGACTGTATTGTTAAAAATAGACATAGTGTCCGTAATGTCACCCATAGGTTTCTGAAGAGCCGTTGTGTAGCTCAGTGTAGTCGGTTATGGCTGTCACTGTCGTGGGGGTCTAGAGTCTGGGCAAAGAGGTAGAGCAAGGGTTGAATGAAGCCTGATTACTGTAAAAAGCCACCAGTCATAGCACCCAATGATCACTCAAAATGGCCATGTCCTTAATTATGCAGAAGTTCAGAGACCAAACACGTTTTCTATACTGTGAACATGTTTATTTCTACCTTTTCTAAAGCTGCACAGTTGCACATTTTAATATGGGGCCTTTATGGAGATTGACTCACTTCTGGAGCCAGCCTCAAGTGGCCATGTGAGAAACTGCAGTTTTTGTGCACACGAAAATGTGGAGCGGTCCACAATATGAGATATGTGGAAGACCACTGATCCACTTAATCTGAAGGAGCCTGATCAAAATAGGAATGTTTCATATTATGAAATTTAACATTTGCAGTTTTCACGTTTTATATTCCATATATTCATTCAGTGGCCACTTTATTCTTAACACCTGCTGCACATGCGACATCATGTGCCTGCTGCTTTAACACTGTGCTGAAGGCAGCAGACTGTGTGACTGAGCATTAAGAGAGACTGGTGAGAGTGTCAGTGCCAGATGTGCCGCTTCCTGCGTCAGTGAAAACTGCTGTCCTCCTGAGGTCTTTATACATATTGTGAGTACAAAATGATGTAATGAATACAGCAAACATGCAGTCAGCAGCAGTTCTGTTGGTAAACACAGCTCATCTGTGAGAGATTTCCGATCCATAGAAGCTAAATTTTATTTTTAGTTAGCAGCATGGCACCAAGGACGGTGGTGGTCTGTCGGCTGATCAGTTGGTCCACTACCTTGGCCCAGACTGCAATGTCTCAAAAACAATAGACCTTTTTCACAGCCATTTTGGCATGAAATAGAGTAAACACAGGTGTTATAAATTATGGTAATTAAGGTTCTGTTCCATTTAGTGTAGCAAAGACTTTGCAGTGTACACTAGTCGAATTCTGACTCTATTTGACCTGAACAGAGACCTTAGTTAGTATGATTGAGACCACCTGCAATTATCCTACTATTTCATGTGAAAATGGCT